TTGTACACATCCCCTCCCCTCCCTCCCCCGTCCCCCCTGACGACAATCTGCGGCCATGATGGCTGCCTCCGAGGAGCTTCCCCGAGCTGGTGGCAGAGAACGAGCGAGGGAGACAGGAAAAAGAGAGAGAGAGAGAGAGAGAGAGAGAGAGATCATCTTGTCTAAATCTCATGTCATCATTGATCATCTCAGTATGGTAATACAGGAATAAAATAAAATAAATAAATTAAAAATACAAGTAGAAGAAACCAGTCAGTGTAATTAATGAACTGCATTAGAAAAAAATATATCACCTTATATCCACAATATACTGTATTACTTACATGTGTAATTCCCTGTAAACTGCATTTTGTAATTTTCTCTCCCAACCTACAAGAATGAAAGGATCAATGACACTACAAGAATAACACATAGGGAACACATTTATCACTTGAGCAATTCATCACTTGATAGATTTTTCTTATATACAGTGGGTACGGAAAGTATTCAGACCCCCTTAAATTTTTCACTCTTTGTTATATTGCAGCCATTTGCTAAAATCATTTAAGTAGGAAAAAAAATTAACTTAAATGATTTTAGCAAATGGCTGCAATATAACAAAGAGTGAAAAATTTAAGGGGGTCTGAATACTTTCCGTACCCACTGTATATATATATATATATATATAAAAGAAACACTATTTTTGTATATTTTAAAATCTAATTTATCCCTGTGATGGCACAGCTAACTTTTCAGCAGCCATTACTCCTGGCTTCAGTCACGTGATCCTTCAAAAATCATTCTAATATGCTGTTTGCTATTCAAGAAACATTTCTTAATATTATCAACAATGCCGAAATCAGTTGTGCTGCTTAATATTTTTATTTTAAAAAACGTGATACATTTTTCACTCTTTGATGAATAGAAAGTTCAAAATAACAGCATTTATTTGAAAAAAATAAATATTAAAATTTAATAGAAATAGAAATAAAAATAAAAAATATTTTGTAACAATATAAATGTCTTTACTGACACTTTTGATCAATTTAATGAATCCCTGCTAAATGAAAGCATTATTATTTTTTTAAATAAAGAAACACTTACCGACCCCAAACTTCGGAACAGTAGTTTACAAAAAGTACCAAGAATTTGGTTTTATTTTAAATAAAAGATAAATGCTTGAAATTTCATTTAAAATTGTATTCTGCATCTGACAGCCATGTCATACCTGATGCCTTTAACAATCTTCTCACATCATCTTTCAGCGTTTCCAGTTTAATTTCGGGTTTGTGCAAACATTCCTAGGGAAAAAGACACACTTCTGCAATGAAACACAACAGCAAACGCAAGCAGGCAGTATATGCTGCAGTCAGTGACCGTATTTCGCGTTGCACACTCTGCAGTCAGTTAGCTCAGCTGAAGCTACTCACTTTAGCCTGTTTCTCCAGCTGAGAGTGTAAATGAGTCCCCTTGAGCCGCTGGACAATCTGCGTTATAGAGACAGCCAGCTCTGCGCTCTCGTCCATCAGCACACTTTTAATGCGATGTCGACGGGATTTTCTGTGAGCATCTGTTAGCGCTGCAGCACCGCAGGATGAAGCACAAGCACCGTATCCAGGCAAATGACAACAAAGCCTTCAGGAAACACTGTCTTCTACACAAGGTTCCGACATGCCTTTATTCACTTTAATAATAAGAGTTCCCGTTATAAAAATCAAAATAATGAATTCCACAAAATATTTTTTTTTATTTATGTTCTTATTATGTATTATTGTACATTTACCCTTACGAAAATTAACCATGATTTTACTACAAATAAAACCAAAAAACAATGGTTACTATAGTTAAACCATGGTAACTACAAATTAACCATGGTTTTGCCACACTAACCATAGTTTAACCATGGTATTTGTAGTAAACCTGTGGTTATACAAATGGTAATCAATACGCCAAAAAAACACTACACTTTTACTATAATAAAACCATGGTTAATTTTCGTAAGGGTAAGCTATATGTAAAAATATCAAAATTAATTGAAAATGTATACATCATGGTAGTATTTCATTATATTAAAATTTGTTTGATTACATGTTTCCTTTAAAACTTTAAAATCAAAAATTCGAATGCAAAAGGCAGGAATTTCAAAGAATTACAAGATCATTTTATTTGGTTTTAGATGTGAATTTGTTTTATTTATTTTTTTGCTGTAGCATAGGGGAGAGTGGGGTTAGTTGAGCCAGTGGGTCAGGGCCGTCCTTAGAGGGGTGTAACTGGAGGGGCCGCACCGGGCCCCGTGGTGAACGGACCGAGGGGGAAATTGATGGGTAAATTGAGCCAGCATTTTAACTTACCCCACCAAAAGGGACTGAATTTAAGGTAAATCTCTGCAGTATAAACTGGTATTTTAATGTGATATTACGCAACAGTTTAGTTTATGTGTATATATATATATATATATTAGTTAATTTGATAGGGACAGTGTACAAGTGAACCAAATCTTTCTCTGATAAGAACCAGAAGATGCTTTACATCACATTATAATCATATATTTTTCCACCTGCAGTCCCTAACGGTCTGTTCGACACTGCAGAAAAGAGAAAAGATAAAAAAGCAGTCCTTCTTAATATGCTCAGGCTGAACCTGAACATGTACATGAACAAGAAAGCAGTTTCTCTTTTCTCTGTTTCTCTTCGCAGGAATTCTTATAATGTTTATCATGCACAAATATATCTGACAGCAGCTATCAGGAATTAAGGCTTTTGGCCAGTGCTAGAGATTTTTGAGTTACTATAACAAAACCTGCGTGTGGTCTCCCTCAAAAGACTTACCCTCTAATCTTTATGTTTTACAACAATGTTTTATAGTATGGCTGATAGTAATCTTAGTCAGTTAGTTGCATGTTATAGGCTACTAGCATAGCCACAGTAAAAAGGGTCTTGCATAGCCAAACCATTAAAACACTTCCACATATTTTACTAATATAAGAATAATTGGGATATATATATATATATATATATTTTTTTTTTTTTTTTATATACCATGCAAAACAAGTCATAATAAGGGCATAATAAAGTTTATGGGGGCTGTACCTGTGAGCTGTTTTATTTTCTGTTGTATTATTTTGTTCGCTACAAATAATGCATATGTATTTTTTTTTTTTTTTTTTTAAGTATGCATTTAAAAAGCATTTAAAGTCTGTGTTCATTTCACAGGTCTCTTTCTCTCTATCATCTTCACTCTCCAAATCTATAAAGCATTAAATGTGTGAGTGCGCTGAATGCTTTGTTCGGTGGAGAGGTCAGTAAATGACCCTAAAAAGGCCCTTAAAATCTCTGTCAGGATAAACTGCTACAGTCAAGATAGTAAATCAGGAACCAAGAGCGCACAAACAACTTCATTTGTAAAATGGAAGAGAATGCATTTCAATGTTATTTAAAACAGTTGTAAAGTCATAGTTGCTCAATTCTGTGTAAAAGAATAAACAGAGTTAGTGGCACTTCATGTAATAAATAATAATCAGCATATTAGAATGATTTCTGAGTAATCATGCGTATTCTTTTCTCAATAATCATGTGCAAATTATTTTTATGGTAGACAACAGTTCAAAACACACACACACACATGCTGTAATGCTTTAGGAAATGTGATGGGGATGGGTTTTTGTACCTTATTCATGGAAGGTATCTAGTAAGAAAGTGAAGGCGGGGTCTGCGTTCTGTAGACGACAACACTGATCAACTGCATTACTTCACATCACAACTCGTGAGCAGGAACGCTTGATGATATACGGGATTGGATGTACTTTACGTACTTTGTCCATTTTATTTTGTTATTTATTTTAACATCTCAAAAGAAACCCGTTTTGTCTTGAATATATAATTATGAATTGGGATAAAAGCATGTGTCTTATTATAGAGTGCAGCTCTCTGGCATTATGGCAGAGCAAATGGTGGTGTTCTTTTACCTGCAAGAGATGAAGAGACATTCATTTGGATAGATCTATGTCTATATTGCGACGGACAGTGAGAATCCATCAGAAACAACAAGCAAATATGGAGACATTTACAATTCACGATATGCTCATCAATTCCACTGATATTTATAAAATTGTATGTGGACTGGGAATCGAGAATTTGTCGGAGTGCAAAAATGATAATAACAGCACGTCCGAGCCAAAAGGTAAAGGACATCTTAAATTTTTATTGCATATATTACTTTATCTTTCCTGTGGAGTCGCGCATATTAAGCACAGAAAAACTGATAACATCTAAATTAACTTGTATAAGGGAAAAAATATTTTGCATCACTGAATCAACCAAAATATACTTTCACTTTTACCAACAAAACAAATTTTTATGAGCTAGAACGAGTTGTACGAGTTTAAACAGGTCTTGCACAACTTTGCATTTCTAAGTAAAAGTTCACTAGTTTGCTTGTTAAATCTTGTCAAATAATGTCAATGCAAATTTGTTTCTAGAGCACAGTTTAAAACAACTTAGAGTTGACCAAAGTGCTTTACATTTATACACTTAGAACAACATTCAAACAAAACAAAGCAAGGCCATTAAAAGAGATTAAATTAATCTCTACAATACATTAAAAACACTTTCTTTCTTTCTTTGGTACTTGTATGTCAGACATGAACCAGTCGGTGCGGATCGTTCTGTATGTGCTCATCTTCCTCCTGAGCTTCATCGGAAACAGCCTCATCATCACCGTTTTGGTGCGGAACCGGCGCATGCGGACGGTCACGAACCTGTTCCTGCTGTCTCTGGCCGTCAGTGATCTGATGCTGTGTCTCTTCTGCATGCCCTTCACACTCATCCCAAACCTTATGAAGGACTTCATCTTCGGCACCGGCATGTGTAAAGTGGCCACGTACTTCATGGGTGAGTCAGTTTGATATTTGTAGTTCACACTTCTCTAGCTCAGTGTTTGGAAATGATTTGTTGGTTCTCTGACAAATTACCATAACCCGAGTTTCTGCAAAGATACCTGTTATTATAATTAGTCCAACTGTAAACTTTTCAGAATCGTTTTGTTTGGTATTGTGATTTGGGTCTAATACCAAGTGACTGAAGTTTTAAAGTAACAACTGTAGTCCATGTAATAGGCAGGTTTTACAGGTTTACCTCCAGTAAATCTTTATATATATATATATATATATA